ACCAGGATGAACCAGGACCAGGACTGAACCAGGACTGAACCAGGACCAGGACTGAACCAGGACCAGGACCAGGACCAGGACTGAACCAGGACTGAACCAGGACTGAACCAGGACTGAACCAGGACCAGACCAGGACTGAACCAGGACTGAACCAGGACTGAACCAGGACTGAACCAGGACCAGGACTAGGACCAGACCAGGACCAGACCAGGACCAGGACTGAACCAGGACCAGGACCAGGACCAGGGACCAGACCAGGACCAGGAACCAGGACTGACCAGACCAGGACAACCGACCAGGACCAGGACCAGACCGGACCAGACCAGGACCAGACCAGGACCAGGACCAGGACCAGACCAGACCAGACCAGGACCAGACCAGACCGGACCAGACCAGACCAGACCAGACCAGACCAGACCAGACCAGACCAGACCAGACCAGACCAGGACCAGGACCAGGACCAGGACCAGGACTGAACCAGGACCAGGACTGAAACAGGACCGGACCAGGACCAGACCAGGACTGAAACAGGACCGGACCAGGACCAGACCAGACCGGGACCAGGACTGAAACAGGATCAGACCAGGTCTCAAACAGGACCAGGACTATAACCAGACTGACCCAGGACTTGTTTAATCAGTTCCTGGTTTGTCTGGTTCAGTTCTTGCCCCTGAGGATCCTGGGAAATCCCTTTGTAAACAACCAGAGCACAGAGACCGAGTCGGGACTGTGGAGGGTCTGGACCGAGACCAGGTCTGGACCAGGATCAAACCCAGGATCAAACTCAGCTCAGAGTTTCAGATGTGAGCGTGGGCCGTGTTTGAGGAGCGACAGACGAGACCGACCGAACTCAACTCAAACACCAAAACACTGAAGACTTTGTCTTTTTTATTTTGGACGTTTTTATGTTTCAGATTTTACTTCCTGGTTGGAAATCGTGACATCACAGCAGGGTTTTCTGTTACCATAGCAACCACATTCTGTTACCATAGCAACCACATTCTGTTACCATAGCAACCACACAGCGTACACTGAGACAAAACTCGTCTAATGTCACAGATGAAAATTTAACAAATAAACAAAAGAAAACACATTTAATGTGTTAAAATCATGTTTAGCAGTAGTATTTGTAGTACCGCAGTAGTAGGTGGTACTTGTAGCAGTTGTAGTAGTAGTAGTATTTGTAGTACCTGCAGTAGTAGGTGGTACTTGTAGCAGTTGTAGTAGTAGTAGTAGTAGTATTTGTAGTACCTGCAGTAGTAGGTGGTACTTGTAGCAGTAGTAGTAGTAGTAGTATTTGTAGTACCTGCAGTAGTAGGTGGTACTTGTAGCAGTTGTAGTAGTAGTAGTAGTAGTATTTGTAGTACCTGCAGTAGTAGGTGGTACTTGTAGCAGTTGTAGTAGTAGTAGTAGTAGTAGTATAGTACCTGCAGTAGTAGGTGGTACTTGTAGCAGTAGTAGTAGTAGTAGTATTTGCAGTAGTACCTGCAGTAGTAGTGGGTAGTCTTGTAGCAGAGTAGTAGTAGTAGTAGTTTGTAGTAGTAGTACCTGCAGTAGTAGGTGGTACTGTACAGTTGTAGTAGTAGCAGTAGTAGTACCTGTAGTAGTAGTAGTAGTTGTAGCAGTAGTAGTAGTAGTAGTAGTAGTAGTAGTACCGCAGTAGTAGGTGGTACGTGTAGCAGTTAGTAGTAGTATTTGTAGTAGTACCTGCAGTAGTAGGTGGTACTTGTAGCAGTTAGTAGTAGTAAGTAGTAAGTAGTGGCAGTAGTAGTACCTGCAGTAGTAGGTGGTACTTGTAGCAGTAGTAGTAGTAGTATTTGTAGTACCTGCAGTAGTACGTGTAGCAGTTGTAGTAGTAGCAGTATTTGTAGTACCTGCAGTAGTAGGTGGTACTTGTAGCAGTTGTAGTAGTAGTAGTAGTAGTAGTAGTAGTACCTGCAGTAGTAGGTAGTACTTGTAGCAGTAGTAGTAGTAGTATTTGTAGTACCTGCAGTAGTAGGTGTACTTGTAGCAGTTGTAGTAGTAGTAGTATTTGCAGTAGTACCTGCAGTAGTATGTGGTACTTGTAGCAGTTGTAGTAGTAGTAGTATTTGCAGTAGTACCTGCAGTAGTAGGTGGTACTTGTAGCAGTTGTAGTAGTAGTAGTATTTGCAGTAGTACCTGCAGTAGTAGTGGTACTTGTAGCAGTAGTAGTAGTAGTAAGTATTTGTAGTACCTGCAGTAGTAGGTGTACTTGTAGCAGTTGTAGTAGTACAGTAGTAGTGCTTGTAAGTAGTAGTGTTGTAGTAGTGTAGTAGTAGTAGTAGCAGCAGTAGTAGTAGGTAGTACCAGTAGTACCTGCAGTAGTAGGTGGTACGTGGTAGTGTAGTAGTAGTTAGTAGTACCTGCAGTAGTAGTGGTATGTAGCAGTTGTAGTAGTAGTAGTATTTGCCTGCGAGCAGTTGTAGTAGTAGTAGTGTAGTACTGCAGTGTAGCTAGTAGTAGTAGTATAGTATTTAGCAGTAGTACCTGCAGTAGTAGGTGGTCTTGTAGCAGTTGAAGTGTAGTTGTAGTAGTAGTAAGATAGTATTGTAGTACCTGCAGTAGTAGTAGGTGTACTTAGTAGTAGTGTAGTTGTAGTAGTAGTAGTAGTAGCAGTAGTACCTGCAGTAGTAGGTAGTAGCAGTCTGCAGTAGTAGGTGGTACTTGCCAGTAGTACTTGTAGCAGTTGCAGTAGTAGCAGTAGTAAGTATACTAGTAGCAGTAGTAGTAAGTAGTAGTATTTTCAGTACCTGCAGTAGTAGGTGTACTTGTAGCAGTAGTAGTAGTAGTAGTAGTAGTACCTGCAGTAGTAGGTAGTAGTACCGTCTAGGAGTGTCTTGTAGTGGTAGTAGTGTGTAGTTGCATAGTACCTGCTTGTAGTACTAGTAGTTCAGTAGGGTAGTAGTAGTAGTATTTGCAGTAGTACCTGCAGTAGGAGGTGGTACTTGTAGCAGTTGTAGTAGTAGTAGTATTTGCAGTAGTACCTGCAGTAGGAGGTGGTACTTGAGGATCCTCTGCACTGGTTTCAGGAGGTACGTCTCCAGGGGAAGTGAGTGATTCAGACTCGACTGACGCTGCTGAAAAAACCGAACCAGAACCGAGTCCTGCATCAGGTCTCTGAGTACTGCAACAGAACTGTAAAAGTACACAAAGTACATGAGTACTACACTCACACAGTACTGCAACAGAACTGTAAAAGTACACAAAGTACATGAGTACTGCAGACAGAACTGTGAAAGTACACAAAGTACATGAGTACTACACTCACACAGTACTGCAACAGAACTGTAAAAGTACACAAGTACATGAGTACTGCACAGTGTACGCAACAGAACTAAACACAAGTACATGAGTACTACACTCAGAACAAAGTACACTGTGATACACACTGTCTGTGTACATAAATACTGCAGTAAAAGTACATGTAGTATCTCAGAGTTTTCAGAGGACAGGAGCACTTCCTGATGTTCACCACAGGGGGGCAGTGTTGTGACGAATATACTGAAACTGAATCAAACAGGACACGAGGAAACCAGATCCAGACAGATCCAGATCAGATCCAGACCAGATCCAGACCTAGACCAGATCCAGACCAGATCCAGACCAGATCCAGACTCAGAGTGGGTCTGGATTGGGTCCAGAGCAGGTCTTCCCTTAGTCCAGATTCATATTCAAATATAAGTGGATATAACTTTATCAGGTTTATCAGTCTGGGTCCAGACTCAGTCCAGACCCTGGACTCGGTCCAGACCCTGGACTCGGTCCAGACCCTGGACTCGGTCCAGACCTGGTCTGAAAACAGGTCGTGTTGTTTGGGACTGGCACAGATTTACTTCCTGTTTCTGTTTTTTAATGAGCTGTGATTGGCTGGAAATGGGCCAATCACAAACAAGAAGCTGAACAAGACGTTTGCCCTCACGACGGGTCACGAGAGCGACGGGTCGGGGGGGGGGGGCGGCGGGTCACCTGCATAACTCCAAACGCTCTGCTCCACTGTGTGATGTCATGAAGTGGGAGTTTTCAGGCGAACAACTCCTTTGAGGAAATTATCCAAATGATTTCAGTGAAGGTGTGTGGAGTTTAAAAACACAGTGGAGCACTTCCTGTATCACCACATGATGACATCACAAGGTGGAACAACGTGTTTGTCTGTTACCCGGAGTTTCAGGCGCTTCAGCGTTAGTGCGGCTGATCCCGGGTCAGCGTTGGTGCGGCTGATCCCGGGTCAGTACTAGTGCGGCTGATCCCGGGTCAGCGTTGGTGCGGCTGATCCCGGGTCAGTACTAGTGCGGCTGA